TCGTTTTCGCCGCCGGAACACGGAACAAAGAGGCTCACCAAAAAAGTAATCGGCCATCTTAAATCTACCACGAGAAAACACTCGTAAAGCATGTGCACGCACTCGTAAGCGATCGTAATCGGATTTGAAGCGAAATCCACAAAATTAGCCCGTATTTTTCGTGACTCGTACAGGCCAATCGGATCGCGGACCAATCAAAATGATTCTCCGTTCCGTATCGAGCACGATCACGTATCGAAAGTACGATCACGTAATCTTGATCCGACCTACGTGGACGTGCGTTTCGCAGTGTTAGATTAAGATGATCATTTTTAACGGGATTCTCTATCCAGTTAGCTGTACCGTTTCCAGCGCGAATCTGAAGCGAGACGATCACCGGATTCGCTAGATCCTACGCTTCGCTCCGATCTTTGAAATCCAGTGAATGGAACCTACGTATTCTTGTATCCAAGTACAACACCATGTTTATCTTTTCATGGATGCTAATTGATTAATCTGCGAAACCACTTTATCGAGGTAAAAATATAATGAAATTATTATTACATTCTATTATCTTGCCGAATGATTACAGATTATGAAATCTATTTTCGTATTTGGTAATCCCTGTTTAAGGATATTTTTCTCTTTAACAATAAAACTGTCAGAAGGCTAAACAATTTGTATCTTCCACATCAGAATTTGATTTCGTAGTTATTAAAATTATGAAGATGCTTCGGTAGGAAATTGTAAAATTGTATTTATACCAACGAGTCACTTCAAATCTCAAGAAACTCGTTTAATTTTTATAAGCAATTGTTCCTTATACTTCATAACAATTTTTAGAACTGTACATAAGTTACTCCAGTTTTTTTTATGGTTCTAATGTTAACGAATCAAGTTAATTTTATAAATCCAATGAATCAATCCACGATAAACAGTTCATCGTGATCTTCGAAGGAGACGGTTTAGCGATGCTGGGGAGTTGAATTGACGTCCCAATAAGGGAGGAATAGCATTAAATCACGCGACCAGGGAGAATGTCCTATTCTATGTTCCATGGGAAAGGCCAAGGGACGACATTTCGGGTCTGGATCACCGAAAGATTTACGTGAATCGCCGACAGGCCGCGCTCGATCCAACGGGACACGTTGATTCGACGTAGCTCGAACCCCGTTGACTTATCGATTCCACACGAAAGAAAACCGAGTCCACGGTCAGAGCCATCCCGTTAATTAGTTTTTGATTGTGTCGGTTAAAAATAAATGGGAGAGGCGAAGGAAGCTTTCAAAACACGATAAAATCGTTCTGACGCTTATTCAAAGGAAAGGAAAAAGAGGAGAGAACCGAGTGCAAGGAGAATCTAATCTGTTCAATTTTTAAGACGTCTAATCCTTCGCAGATAAAACGTCGTGATTACCTGTAGGAACAGCGAGATACCATTCATTATCGCCGCGGTTAATTAAATCTCGATGTATTAATTCGAAAGTCGAGTATCGTGAGTAAATACGTGAGTACTGAGACGATTATTCTATTTGCTACAAATTCGTCCATAGCACTTGAGCACCCAGCAATTATGGATTATAGAATACTTCAATCATTTAAACTTTATTTTGTTTGACTTCGCAGAACGACAAGCACGAGTTAAATGTTAAAGGCGTTAATCGGTGAAACCATTTTTCGAAAGGACGAGAGAATCGTGTTTTCCGACTTAACGTGTTGAATGTCATAATAAATTACTATAATTCATTTAATTAAACAATAATTCTATAGTGTAAGCAATGCTATCCACTGTGTTCACACGTTCAGCAAGATAAATGAGCAATAAGAATAATGCGATTCGATGAAATAATTTGATACTGTATTTTGTTCATATTTCATATCTTCAATGAGGCAACTTTCGTTTGTTTTGAAGCCGATTTTTGCGTGTATCGCCGTTTGTCACAGCTTTCGTGGCAGCGAGTCAAGCAGAATTCATGGTCCACTGGTGGCCACTGGCAGCGCGCGCTGGCAGAAGTTAAATCTATCCGTGAAATGAGCCCGCACAAGCGGCGGTGAAGTGCCGTTTCAGAATGAACACGTTGCTTGATCCGTGCCTCGTCTCGTGCCACTCTATTTCTGTCTCAACTTTTATGAAAGAGCACACAGCAGCTTAAATCCGCCGGCAATGAAACGCTTTCTCACCTCCGAGGGGCCGATCGCAGATGTAAAACAAGCATGCCAAGCTTATTTTCCGAAAAGGATCGATCTATCGTTAAACAAGCATATAATTTAACATTGGAATCATTAGAGAGGGCCATTTTAAAATTTCTGATTTACAATTAGTTATAGTTTATTATAGAGCGAAGCTTATTTCCGTCAAAAAAGTCGATCCATCATCAAAGAAGCAAATCGATAGCAAAGAATAATCGGAAATCGCAAAATAAGTAATTCGAAAATGTCTAATTTCCAGTTATTGAAATTGTGACGATAATCTTATAAAAAGTTGTCAAATAAAAATTGGAGTATTTATAAAGCTACTACTCTTCTAATTTTTATAAGAAACCATAGGATCTTATAACTGTTCAAATTATAAAGATGATTTTGTACAAAGTTGCCAAATAATTGGTGTAGAAATAGATTTACGCACTTATATGATCACGATAACACAATGCCTTTAATATCTAAAGAAACGTGTTCCAATTCCCATAAGAAACTCCAGAACTCGGTTTCATAAAATTACAACTATTCATTCAAAAAATTTAATAGGTCACTCTAATTGTCAGCTAGTCCCAGCGTTAAACTGAATAATCGCCGTTAAACAGTTCACCGATCAAGTATTTCTGGTTAACCTTCACAGGCGAGGGTTTTATAAAATATTAGGAACCTGCAGCAGAGATAAGTAAATTACGTTATCGAACTCCTAAATACTAAAGGAAGCGAGAATCGTGTATTGATCTGTCATTTGAATAATTCAACCATATGTTGGTAACTTTCTCGGACATGAAAGTTTGAAGTCTCTAAAATGCCGACGTTCGTTCTAAAAGATTTAATTGTTGTTCAGTGAATTCTTCAACGTGCCCGGGCGCAATCATTTATGACTGGGCCGGGAACACGCGACCCGGAAAGTTTCAACTTCGACCCGTCGCTTTTATTCCCGTCGCCGATTTGATTTGCGGTCGAACGCGTTTTAACGTCAGTCCGGGGCGTGTAACGGCTATAGTAGTCAGCTACGATCGTATTTCACGTTCCCCGACAGTCCGTTAATGCCTTCTGCATAAGAAATTCCCCATCTTGTCATTGAAACGTTCACGGAAAAGCAGAAGTTCACGGCGAAGCTATTATAAGCTGGCGGCTCGACGACTGCGCTTTTCAAGTGGGTTGGCATGATTTCGCGGAGCACAATGCTCGGATCGAATCGAAGTTTTGCAATTACACGCCCGGAGCGTTAATTTTTGGTGCACAGCACCGGCGATACAATCTTCGGAACTTGTTTACCTTAACACTCGACCGACTCGCGTCGATCTTTTTCAACTTGATAAACACCGATTTCCAACGTAATAATCATAATTTATTTGCGTTGCAAAAGATCCTCGATAATCGTGAGTAGCTTGAGACAAGCGGTTCCTCGATAGAAACAACAAATTTACATACTTTGTTGCAAAAGAATAAGTGATACGAAATCAACGTATTATTTATGTTGTTAATCAATTTATCTTCACGTGTTGACTTCTACGAGAATCTCGATCGTTTTATGTATTAGTTATTTTTTTGCAACAAAGATGAATGGAAATCATTATTCCGTATCACAATTCTTACATTACACTGTTACCTCGCATGGAATATTAAATATTTGTGTTCGTCATTAATCTTATTACAATATTGTAATTGTTTCCAAGTAGTTGGAAATTGTCAGATGAATTTTGTTCGTCGTTTGTTGGGGAACATCGTCGATGAACGTGGTCGTACGTGCGAAAAACACACCACTAGTAATCGCTAAATATTTACCAGACTTTTTTCGAGTGGCACTACGCGGACAGTTTTTCGCGGGTCAATGACAAAGTCCTCGAAGCACTCGATCTTTCAATTATTCTAAGCGGCGGCGCGGCGCGTCGCCGATCAAATTGCCCGGCGCGATTACACGATCGCAGAGAGCAAAGTATAATTGCCCGTTTCGAGAGAGATGCGATCGTGGCTGGCGATTTGTCACCGTTTATGTCCATCAGGTTTCATTCAACGATAACGTCTCGATTTTTGGGAGCGCACCGCTCAAGCGTCTCGAAGGCCGCGACAATTCCGTCCGGCTGTTTCATTGCTCGAATAAAGCATGATGCTTTAAAGAGGAGCTGCCGAGCTATAAACCATTCCATTACGGTAACTGGGAGGTTACGACTTTTTAGATTTTCTTGGTAACGGGAATGTCGTCAGGATAAATGAAATGTGCTGGTTGACAATTAGATATACTCCCGGTTAAAGTTTCCGTTCGCATGCACTTGGAAGATTTGGTTGTTTATGCAAATTCGAATTTTTGAGGATGTAATGGTATATAATATAGTTACATGTGATATACGATACGAATATATAATATAATATATAATAGTAACCATTAGTAACGGCGAAAACCACTGCAGAAAACGCTGCACTTTGGATATGTTATTGTGTGGTTTCATATTGTGTGCAAATTCTGCACTTTCAAATTTCCTCTAAGAGCATAAAAATTCGTCTAATATGAACAGTCTAATCATAGGAAGATTGGAGTAAAAAGATATTAGAGGAGCCTAAATATCACTGAGAATTGAAAAGTTCAATGAAATTATAAGAGAAATGAGAGGTAATGATTTTTGTATTTACAAACTACTTATATTAGCGAGACTTAAGAATTAATAATGCATTGTTACTGTTTTTTCCTAGTGGATTTGATTTCTGTTCTTACAATCTGCCGTCTATTTTTACGCCGACGAATAGCAACTATTCATCTGTGCGTTCATCTGCGTTGCTAGACACTTAGGTAACTTCTTAATTAACTAGTCAAGCAAATTGCCAGTGTGCGTGTAATTGTCGTGCGCGCAACAACTTATCAAACCGACGACGATATTCTCGGGGGGAGGTTCGAGAGAAGGAAACGTGTGTACGTAAAACAGAAATAACCAAGAAATTCGAAGCTGCGTGCGCCGTCACGTGAAAGCACGCCGGCAATCCATCGACCCGCGATCGACTCCACGCCACTTTCGAAAACCTTCTCTAAATATTCGAGCGAGCCGACAGGAAAGTTTTACAATCGGCACTGTTGAATCGCAAGCAAATCTGTCCCGTTCGATTTTCATTTATGCGATGCCAAATGCTCGTGTTTATATCGCATAGCAACTATGCAACTACAAGCGAAAAGTTTCAATGTATACTATGTACTTAATACTAAACGACAGGCAATTTCGTTGAGCAACGTCCACAATAAACACCAGACACGTTCGGTCTACTGTTAGGTGTTTATATTTAAATTCAAAATAATCCACGGGTCGATGATAATACGCTTCTTCGGATTTAGCTGGGTCACCTTCGATTTCTTAAATAGAATCTTGAAACTTTGTCTCGAATATTTCCCAACAGATTCAACATGATTGTTTGAATCCACTAGACACTGTGTATAAATCAACGTAAGTACGCCGTCATCGAGTTAAGACACTCCGATCAGTCAACACAGGGGAAGGACGAGTCAATATTATGGAATTACGTAAAATTGCTATTATCCGAACGTCGATCACACTCCGATTTTCAATATTCCTTTTCCCATTCGCATCCTCTATCACAATTCCTGTCTCGTCGATCCCACGAAAACCCTCGAAAAACACCGCACGGACCAGAAACAAGAACAACCATAGACTTCAAGCGCCAGCGTACGATCACCCGCGTCCGACCTTCTACGACTGACCCATTGATCGCGAACATTCCGGTCAACGGTTCCCGATCAACGGTATACAAACAAAATCTTCAAAGACCAATAGAAAAGAAAAGAAGAAGAAATAATCATTTTTTCAAAGTACCTGGTAGAGGAGCGGTGACGAACGCCTGGGCAGTAGTAACTAGCAACGACAGCACTATGAACAAGGACCACGCGAGGATGATCATCCTGGATCGTATCGATCACTCAGCGACAACGATACCGATTCGATCAGCTTGCTGGGGATTGCTTCGACGACTTCTACCACGATTCGGAGCACTTCTCCTCAAGTCCGCTTCGATTTTGACTATCGACCGTTCACGGTGTCTTCGCTGGGAACAGGTGCAACGAAGAAAATAGGGATACGTCACGGCGCGAGCACGTGTGTAACGTTTGACGTCGGTCGCAACTGAACTCTCCAGGTAAACCGAACTCCGGCACACTCGCGAACACGTTTCTCCCGATAGATCGCGGGTGGGGGATCGTTGGAGGGCCGCCAGGCTCAGGACTCGGCTTCGCCGACTTCTCCGACCAGTTAGCCAGCAGTGAACTGCTCGTGTTCCTGCCTTGGGCATCGTAATATACATAAAGTCGCCAGATAAGCCGTGGCTGACAACCCCACCATCGAGCCGACCGTCGCGGGACGGCCCGTTCTCTCGTGGCTCGATCGCCCCGCTCGCTCGCTCGCTCTTTCCCGCGACGGAAACGGTGCCGCGGGAGAGCGAGGAGCGTACCCCTCGTCTGGCGGCTCGAGGCCGACGCGCAACGACGATGCCGCGACGCAACGCGACGCGTCACGACGCATCACGCACGTGCTTACCGGAACGCAACGCTTTTGGAGCGATCTAGGATCGATCGCTGGTTGAAGCCCGGGGGATGATTGGGTTTCTGGCGTTAAAAAAGAAGTGCATAAATGAAATTTTAGTAATGCGTTTGACTTTTGGTTTTTTGATAGTGAAATTATTGGGTAGACTTTTTGGAGTCATTTAGGATCGATCGCCGGTTGAAGCTTGGGGGATGATTGGATTTTTGGCGTTAAAAAAAGGGTGTATAAATGAAATTTTAGTAATGCATTTGACTTTTGGTTTTTTGACAGAGAAATTATTGAATAGACTTCTTGGAGCCATTTAGGATCGATCGCTGACTGAAGCGGAGGATGGTTTAATTTTTAGGGATGATTGGATCTTTGATGCTAGATAGAAGAGAGGTCATACATAAATTTTAGTATTAGTTATGGCTTAATACTATATAGTCATTAGTTTGATGTTTGGTTTCTTGGCAGTGAAATTATTGAACAGACATTTTGAAGCAATCTAGGATCGATTGTTGGTTCAACGTTGAAATAATGATATTTTGATTTTTTGGGGATGATTGAATACGTAATGTTAGGTTTATGCAGAAGGAGAAAAGGCAAATGAAATTGTAGTAACGTGTTTGATTTCTTAACACTAGTATCATCGAGCAGATATATCGAAGACAAAAACTGACACATTGGAAATAAGAAACCATGGTGATTTTGATTCATTTACTGGTTCCAGTGTTGATATTTTATTCATTGAATTCTTTACTTTATGATTTCCTCCTGTTTTGCATATATTTGCCACTTAACTTCTTCAGGTGTGCTACTTCAATGATTACTATGTCTATTTAAACTCACACATCCGTAAGTTATGTAATTCTTAATAAGAAATTCGTGTAATATTGTGTCTTTGTTCAATCCACTATCACCGAGAGTGACAGATTCCACGGAAACCTAATACCGCACTCGTGCAAGCGAAAAACACGGGAACTTCTCTTCACGAGAGTCTCCTTTTCGGCGCAAATTAAGTTTGAGAGTCGCTCGAGCCCGTGCTCGACCATGCCTCGACTAACTTCGCCACTCTATAATTCATTATCTCTGCGGTGCACTCGTGTTGGTAAACATTCACACTGACATAATTTACATTCCAGCGGTACCGCTATCTTATTTAATTCTCGCTTTCCATCGAGCCTGATACCGCGATCCCTCCGGCGATCATTACGCTGCGAGGATTAAAGATCCGATTCATCAAACGTGAACCAGTTTTATGCCGAAGGTCGGTCGACGATCGATCCCGCCGTAAAACATGGGCCAATTAAATCGTCAACGTTTTGCAATCCCATTGACTCAACACCACGGAATTATAATAATATAAACCACGTGTAATCTCTGTCAGGCATTACTGTATTACACGTTGTTCAAACTTCGATCCCATACATAAATTACATCCTGTCTTATTTTATAGTTTGACGTAAGAAAATCTGATTGGAAGAATAAGAATTACCAAGAAATTGCGAAGGGGAACCGCAGAATGTATAGATTATATTTCGAATTACGTTCTATCACCTACAACTTTGCTACCCTTTAACCCCTTGCCTTATCATATCGAGTCGGACATGCGATGAAGATTTCAAACAGAATTGAACAAACATAAATATTGCTCAATACTTTTGAATTCAAGTTAAACATTATTCTTCTGTAATCAGTTATACTTTAAATATAGAATATTCATAGAATTTTTTCTCCTTTTTCCAAGTAGTTGTATCGATCATTCAGGAATAAATCACAGTGCAAGGAGTTAAGCGTTTTTCAGTCACCTGTTCTGACGCAGAAACACAATTCCACGTTCCAAATACCAAGAACAATAAGTACGATTCCATTGACAAATACTTCGTCACTGTGACGAAAAGTCGGTTCATCTTAATCTACGTGATTCACTTCGTTAAGAAACCTTAAAATACAGTGACGCAATATTCGCGTCAACGTGGACGAGAGCCGCGTGTCATCTCGGATAATCGGGGTCCGATCAGCTCATGATAATTACCCGGGCGCCATTGATTACTTATTCGCGGAAATAACTTGCCCAGACAATACATGTATACACCTAACAATGTTAACTCGCCGTGCCAGTGACTCATCTAGCATAGACGTATCGCCAGCATGCGGTGTTGGTAACGGCAGAATACATCATACGAAATGTGAGATGCTCGTTAGTCTCGTTCCAGGTGGCTCGTTATCGCTGGTAGCAGTGTGTCAAGTGTCACATAAGTTAGCCCCAACGCGTGACGCTCGTGTAATGCCTAGTAAAGGAAGAATTATGAAAGAAGCGCATCATTCAGGAGGAGAAAGAGTCATCTAGATTGCGGCTCGAGACGGCGATGACAGCCAGTCCGCCAACCAATGGGGAATAATCGACGTTTTCGATCATTGTAGACTGTTTCTACTTTAGTAGTTTGATCCTAGTGTTATACTATAAAAACCTAGATGAAATAAATGATACTATAAAGATGTCGTTTAAAAATTTAATAATTCAACCCTTTGCGCTCAGCAGGTGACTCACAGTTGCCATTTCATTTGATACAGGGAAATTATAAAATTCAATATCAAATTTCATGTAATATAATTACACATGGAATATTGACATTAAATTGTATCCCGTGATTCATATATTATTTATATTCGATACAGTTGAAAATTTCATCGATGTTTCATTAGAAAGTTATGAGAATGCTAACTTGGGTAAATCAGGGGACTATTGAGCCTTCTGTAAACACGGTGACCCTACTCCTTTGCGAAGTGAGACGTCGAGATCATAATTCAGAGATTTCTCGAGATCGCAATGAAGGGATAGGCCGACTTACCGAGTGACCGTTCCAGCACTTATGATATCACGAGTGACAGGTATCCAGGTAAGTAAATATATACCTATGTTTAGCAAAAAACTTTCGAGTGCAAAGGTTCAACTGCCTTGTCACCAACGAGCTAAGGATTGCTTGAAAAGATTGATGTCAAATAAAACTAGATGATTACTAATTAGTTATTATTTCTGACACCATTTGTCATTATTATGACAGAATGATATTGTATAAAACTTTGAAGATCCTCGTAACAGTGACCGTAATGAAAGAAGTTGGTAACGAAAGTCTTCGTGCAGGTTGCGAAGGTTGATATTTAACATTATCACAAACTAACAGTTGACCAACGTTTCGCTGCGCTTCCTCGTGAAGCGACGATCGTCAGTTGATCAGAATGTCGGATCGCGCGTCTTCGTCGTATTAATTTGCAAACAGGTTCCCGACGGTTGCATTATATTTCGCGTCGTTGCCTTCCGCCGCCCGTTTCTCGATATTTTTCAAAACAACACGGGTTAAATATAGCGACCGATGAAAAGAGAAGAGAATGCAAACATTTTGTTGCCGCGTTACAATGGCCGGCTTCATTAATTCGCTGCTCGGCCGCCTATCGGATATTCAACGCCAGCCTCCGCGCCGGCGAGCAAGAAACGCGTGTTTTGCTAAACAAGTGAAACCTCTTTGTTCCTGCTTCGCGGCCGAATCGACGAAATTTCCTTTTTAAAACTGCTAATAAGCGGCCGGCCCTTTTGTTTCCGTCCCGTCCATCGATCGGGCTATCGCTAGGCTCTGGAATCGAGGACGACCAGGGTTTTCTTCCGACTAATTTATTTCATTGAACCTATTAACACTAAGCGTACAAATGACGGTTTTAAAATTTGATTTAAAATTCTACATTTCCTTTCATCCATTTAGCTTTATATCAATTAGAATCATTTCATCAATTTCAATCCTTTTGTTTCAGCTTTCAATGAGAGAAATTGATCGCATAATTTGTTTATCTTTATTTTATGATTAATTATTTAGTAGGTTATGGGAAGAATATAGTTATGTACAAAGTATAAATATATTTAGTGTTAAATCTTTGTTATGACGTTTGTTTACCGCCATTTCGCTCGCTCGTAGGTAAAGCAACTTCTTTTCGTGAATGCGCGTTTGCTCTAGAAATCTAAGATAAATAACGGCGAAATAGTGTTTTGTTTTGAGCACAGATTTTTCGTTTATCGTTAATGTAATTGTATAGTTTATAGAGATTGTTTCAACGTTTTGTGAAATCACGAAAGATTTCGAAGATCGCTTCGCTTGTCGCAATTTCTTTTAACCGTTTTCGTGAAAACAATATGGCGCCACGATTCTAGATGCTCGCGCGCCAAGCAAGATACGCAATCAGCGTGCGGATAGACTGCTAAATGTTTACCGCGCTTTTAAGACGCACCTTGTAAGCAAATATGCACCGAAGGCCGCATCTAACAGAGGCCTGATGAATCTATTTTTATTTTGCGTGTGCGGTGCATTTGTGCGTGCCGTGAAACGTAATAATAACATTAAAGAGACGTAATGGCGCGGAAGAGCCGCGGTGACTTCTGCTTCGAGACAGCAATTACCCCCAACAAAATATTTGAATTTCCAATCAAAGAAACTCTCTACTGATTACTTTCTTTAAAATCCCATTTCGCTCATCCGCTTCACTTTGTCGTAATAGCAATAGTCATAAGTCAACAATACTTCAATTAACCCCTTAATCCTTTCGTTCCGAATGTCACACATAGGTACCATGAACATTTTAAATTATTGGAGAACTAGAAAACGCTTGGATAAAGAAAAATTGTACCACATGAGGTCTTTGCTTATGGCTAACAGCTTAAGTACTAAT